AAAAAAAAACTTCTGAGCTCAAGCAATCCACCTACCTCGGCCTCCCAGAGTGTTAGGATTACAGGCATGAGTCACCACACCCAGCTCAGCACTGGTGTTGAGGGCCATGATCTCAGTGACTAAAAAGTGGTCTCTACCCTGTGACTCTGCTCTATTCAGAAACAACCTTGCTGCAGCCTTTAGAGCTGGCTCTGTTCCTTACTATCTGGTGACACTGAGCAAGTCTCCTAACGTCTCTGTGCCTCAGTTTTCTCATTCATCAAAGCAGAAAGGACCGTACCTTATCTGGATGCAGTGAAAATACGGGACAGCACTTGGCACAAAGACGCCTCTGAGCCCTCAATTCAGTATTAGTTCTATACCAGAATGAGTAGTAGGAGGGTGACCATAACTAATGGTCCTAATTTGGTGGGGAGCGGGGGGGTGAGGGCTGTGGTGCATTTTTTTGAGAATAAAAGGAGCATCCTTGATTATGTCAGGACTGTAGTCAGAAACCATACTGTACTGGGCAAATGCCGCCAGTCGTCGCCATTATCTCTGTCCAGACAGTAAGGACTCAGGCCTCAGGCTAAGATCCAGGGACTCCAGGGAAGCTGGAAACCCTGGGGTTTCCCGCAGGAAGCTGGGGCGCCCAGAGGCTTTGATTAGGTTCCCAGTCCTGACAATAGTAAGTTAGACAAAGCCTCCTTATCCCTAGAACCCAACCCAGCCGCGCCCCCGCCACAGGCCAGCCTGTCTTGGCAGAGGGTCAAGAGCACAGGCCCTATACTCTACCTGCGCCCCTCTCCTCCCCCCAAAGGACCTCCCTCATCCTGCCCTCACCCCTGCACGTCTCCTTTCCAGAACCAGGACTCGCTGTGCCCCATTCCTGGAGTGGGCGCAGAGTCTTTCCCGCCTCGCCTCTCCCAAGTGCGCTGTCTGCCCTCCGGGCCACCGTCTAGGACCCATCCCGCAGGGAGGGCCGGCTCCCCAGGAGTGGCCCCACGCAGGATCAAGGTTCTCCGCCAGGAGAGACAGGGCCGGGCCGAGCGCGGGCACGCAGGGGTGGTAAACGAGCGTGGGCGCGTCGTGATTGCAGTCCATCCCGCCGCCGAGGCACTTAACAGTTTGCAGAGTGCTTCACACCCCTGAGCTCATTGGGAGCCTCTGCAGCAGCCCTGCCCATGGCCACCAGCGCCCCCATTCTATGCCTGAGGAGACTGAGGCTCAGACGCGCTGTGAGCCCCTCCGCAGGTTGCTCCAGGAGCGTGTGGCAGCGTCGGGACTAGAGGGACACTCCGCGGCGCCTGCTCCCGGGTCCTCTCTCCTCCCCACCGCCCCAGGTGTGCGCGCCGCGCCTCAGCTAGACCGCCGACCGCCGAGCCTCTGCCCGGCGCCCTCGCCTCCGCCACGGGCCTCGGGGACACGGGGTCCGGGCCCCGCGGTGGCCGCGCTGCTACAAGTAAGTGAGGGACCTGCCTCCCAGCAGCGCTGGGCGCTTCTCTGGCCGGCTGCGGGGCTGGGGCTGGGGCTGGGGCTACGGAGGTAGTGCCGATGGGGTGGTGGAAGGCTCTGCCCCCTCACACTCCTTCTACCCCCATCCCCTTCATCCCCCACTGCGCACCCACACTCTCACCCCCTCCCCCTTCTTGCCCCTCGATTCTGGCCCAAGTAGGGAGTTCCAGCTGTTGGAAGGTTCTCAGACACTCCCTCCCATGTCCAGAAGCTCCCAAGCTGTCTGGAATGGAGCGAAACTGGGGAGGAAGGGGCTTATCCTAAGAGGACATTGTGAGAGTGGGGGGCAAAGTTGGGCGCTGTCCTGTCCACGGGCTGGGAGCTGGCTTTGAGGGGCAGCAGAGGGTGAACCAGAACTGGCTCCACCAGTCCCTAGCCTGGGCTTGGAAGGGAAATTCTTAGCCAGTGAGTCCATTCCTGGGGTGTGTCAGGAGGGACTGGGCAGAGAGCTCTGGGGAAGGTGGAAGGGGGGAACCCTGCAGGGGCCTGCACCCCGGTAGGCAGCCCTGGAAGGTGTCAGGGGGAAGCAGCGGTCGGGGTCCTCCGCCTCTCAGGGCTGGCAGACAGGGAGCCAGCCACCACTTAAGCGTCTTGGAACTCTCGGGGTGAGTGATAGCCTGGATGGGGGAGGCAGCCTTTTGTAACTTTTACAACAGCCCAAGAAAAAGTATAATTGTTTCCCTTTGGAGATAAGGAAATAGGGCTAAGGAGAATTCTTGGAGGTTGCCCAGCTAGTCAGTGAATGTTTACCCCTTCCGCATTTGAGTACCGACTATGTTCCAAGCAGCAGGCACTAAACATAGAACAGTAGGACCAAGAACAAGCTGAGGTTCTGGTGGGGTGACAGCCAGTGAATAAGAACAAAAAGGTGACAAAGACTTTCAAGTGGTAATAAAGCTCTATGAAAAGGGAAGGAGACAGGAGCAGAGTGACAAGGGTAGTCTGGGGAGGCCTGTAAGGTGCCTGTGTTGGAGCAGAGACCTCTGTGATGAGAAGGAGCCAGCCAAGTGAGGTTCAAGAGGAAGAGCATTCCAGGCAGAAGGAATCAATGCAAATCCTTCAAGGCCCCCAGTGTGGCTGGAGCAGAATGAGTCAGGGTGAGAGGGGAAGAGAGGAGAGTGAGTATATAGAATCATTGACTTGAATCATTGAATCACTGATGCATGTAGAATCATCATTAGACTGTGGAGTGAAAATTAAAGTGTTCTAAACAAGAAAGAGCCATGAACCCATTTACTACACTCCAGGGGTTCAGGAGTGGAAGCTGAATAGCCAGTGAGGAGGAGGTCATGGCAATAATATCAGCCAGTGTTGGTGGCTTGGAGCAGGGTGGTGGCCCCACAGGCACTGCCATGCTCAGAGGCTCAAACCCAGCTCCCGGGGCACTCACCCAGGCATGCAGGCCCACACATGCACATGGAGATGTGTGTGCTCTCACACCCTCCACAGCGCAGACCCAAGGCACACTCAGGCAGACACACCCGTCCACGCCCTCTGAGTCACTACAGGACTGGGAAGAAGTAAGATTTGAGGGCATAAACAAAGCACATCTCCCCACCACTATGCTCTGGCAACCAGCATGGTGGGGGCTCCCCCCGGGCCAGCAAAGAGAGGGGAGTTATCTCTAGATGTTCCCTAGATCTAGTGTCCACTCAGGAGCCAGATCATATCCCCCAATAGGCCCCACACACACACCTAAATCAGTCTTCCATCTTCACCACCCAACTGACTGTGAGACCTTGGGCAACTTATTTCCCCTCCCTGAGCCTCAGTTTTCTCTCTGTAAAATGGGACTCATAACCCCAGCTTCACAGGATAGTAGCAAGGCCTTCACAAGGTAACAGGGGCAAGCATCTGTCCCCCAGCAGCAAAGGGAGGGCAGGTGGCAGAGAGCCACAGGGACCCACGGGCCAGCCTAAATGCCACCTCTCCCAAGTGAGTGACTTCACCTCTCTCTATACTTCACAGTCCTGAGTAGCCAGCATTTATTGAGCACTTACTATATGCTTTGCAATCCTGTGATTATCGGTTTCTTCATCTGTAAGTAGCAAGCATAATAATAGTATGCACCTCACAGGGTTCTTATAAAGGATTAAATGAGATCCTTCCCATAAAGCGTTTAGCTTCACCCCTGGTTCATAATAAATGTTCAGTGATCGGTAATTGCTACCAGCAAATGCACATTCCCTCCCTTCAGCACCCTAGCTCTGTGTCTTTGGGCAGGTGACTTCACCTTGGTGTGCCTCGGTTTTCTATCTGCAGTTTGGGAAGAATAATGGTCACCATCTCACTGGGTCACTGTGATCACTGAACAAGTCAGAACTCGGGGCAGTGCCTGGCACATAGTAAAGGCTCAGTTAAGCCACCTATTCATTAACAACATGGTTCCTCCTCTTATTCCCTCAGGTAGGCACGGCCCCCGGAGCCCCCACCAGCCACCATGGACTGGAAGACACTCCAGGCGCTACTGAGTGGCGTGAACAAGTACTCCACAGCATTCGGGCGCATCTGGCTGTCGGTAGTGTTCGTCTTCCGGGTCCTGGTGTATGTGGTGGCCGCAGAACGTGTGTGGGGGGACGAGCAGAAGGACTTTGACTGCAATACCAAGCAGCCAGGCTGCACCAACGTCTGCTATGACAACTTCTTCCCCATCTCCAACATCCGCCTCTGGGCCCTGCAGCTCATCTTCGTCACCTGCCCCTCACTGCTTGTCATCCTGCACGTGGCCTACCGTGAGGAACGGGAACGGCGCCACCGCCTGAAGCACGGTGACCAGTGCGCCAAGCTATACGACAACGCAGGCAAGAAGCACGGGGCCCTGTGGTGGACGTACCTGCTCAGCCTCGTCTTCAAGCTCCTCATCCAGCTCCTCTTCCTCTACGTGCTGCACACTCTCTGGTACGGCTTCGGCATGCCCCGCCTGGTGCAGTGCGTCAACGTGGCGCCCTGCCCCAACACCGTGGACTGCTACATCGCCCGGCCCACCGAGAAGAAGGTCTTCACCTACTTCATGGTGGCCGCCTCGGCCGTCTGCATCGTGCTCACCATCTGCGAGATCTGCTACCTCATCTTCCACAGGCTCCTGCGATGCATGCATAGGGACAGGCCCTCTGGAGTCCGAGGCTCCTCAGCCTCCAACAGCCGGGCCTCCACCTGCCGCTGCCACCACAAGCTGGTAGAGGCTGGGGAGCTGGATCCAGACCTGGGCGATGACAAACTACAGGCTTCTGCACCTAAGCTGACCCCAATCTGACCATGGGGCTTAGGGTGACACTGGGGCTGCCAGTGGGACAGGCAGGGAGGAGCTGCCGGGTGGAGGGTCCTATGCAGGCTGGGTACCCCACTTTGAATTCACTAAGCTGTTGCATTTCTATTTGAGCAGATACTTTTTGCTCCTGGGCACTGGGAGGCCCACCTGTAAATAGGTGGCCCACAGGCCCAATGCCAGCCCTCAGCGGAGACAAACTTTTAAACAAGCAAATTAACTGTATACAAGCTATGCAAGGGGACACTCAGGACACTCACAGCAGGGCTTCTAGCTAACCCAGGAGGAGGTGACCAGGCTTCCCTGAGGAGATAATGTTCAAGAGAGGTAAGAAGTGCTCCCAAG